AATAGTACAATTAGAAGATAACAGTTTAATTGATACACTTGATCAAATAAAAAAAATTGATTCTTTTTTCAGTGCCTATATTACTTATGGAATAGTGTTAATAGATCTTGTTTTCGTCGTTTTAGCGGAAAGAAATTTTCAAAATTAAAATTGATAAAATCTCACCTAAGATCAACAATGACTCAATAAAGATTAAATGGATTAGCTATATCGTCAATTAAGAAAGACTTATTAGAAGTTATTGATTATAAGAAAATTATTAATAACTTTGTATCTAAAACACGCTAGAAAAATAAACTTCAAATAAGTAAATAATTTTTTTAAAAAAAATAAAATAAAAGTTAAGGTCCCTCATAAAGTTTGGCTTTAGGCCGCAAAATTCGTCGGGCCGCCCCTGCAGCTAACACATGCAGTATATGAACATCCTTGAATCACTAGACCTAATTGTATAGTTTCTGTGAATTTTGGATGGGACAAATGTTACTAGAATCCAGGATTTAAACTCTATGGTCCAACTTTTAACTATCTAAGTTCAATTCAATGTATTTTCAAAGTTATCAGGGTCATATATATTATTTGTTATAATTTTGGTAAATTTTTACACATAAATTTATGTTTTGCGCCGAAAGTACTGGATTAAGAGGAACCCGATACTTCACCCCTGCATCCATCTCTGTTGTGTGCATGTATGTATCCGAAGAAGAACAAAAAGACAGCATGGTACGCGAAGCATCCCGCATTCACGCAGAATTCGGGAATGAAGGGGCCGCACCCAGCATACCCTCATGCAAGCAGCAAAACTGATTCCACGACACGAACTCGTGACCTATAGGTCATACAGAGATAACTTTACCATTACTCCAATGCTCCCCTTCATGTATTAGAAGACTATGTCTAAAATAAAGATAATGGTGTGCATTTCAACAACTTGCCAGCTTACTTGCAGACAGCTTCAAAGACCAACTATATATATGCTAATACTTAAATGGTAGTAAAAAATTGCAAAGATAATTATGAGTATCATGCATAACCAAAACTAAGCAAGCTTGTTGACATGATATAAAGGTATATGCCCATAATATTCCAGGGATTATTCTGGTTTGTATGAAATGGTATTAGTAAGACAACTCTTATAAGTAGTTGGTATTTTCCCACAAATCCATATATCTTTATTCCAACAGTTCTCTCCTTAAAATCAGAAGAAGCAATTCTAGCCATGACTGTTGAGGATAATAATCTACAAGTGCTTAATGCACTTGATGTGGCCAAGACTCAACTCTACCATTTCACAGCAATTGTTATTGCTGGAATGGGATTTTTCACTGATGCCTATGATCTCTTCAGCATTTCACTTGTAACCAAATTACTTGGGCGTTTATACTACACCAAGCCAGATTTATTGAAGCCCGGAACACTCCCTCCGACCGTCTCAGCGTCGGTCACGGGTGTCGCCCTGGTCGGCACCCTAGCTGGCCAGCTTTTCTTCGGCTGGCTCGGTGACAAGATGGGCCGAAAAACGGTCTATGGTATGACTTTGATTATCATGGTTTTGTGCTCCGTTGCATCAGGGCTCTCCTTTGGGGAGTACTCCGTAAGGGTGTTATGGCCTACTCTCTGTTTCTTCGAGGTTTTTGNGGATTTGGCATCGGTGGCGATTACCCTTTATCCGCCACGATTATGTCCGAATATGCAAACAAGAAAACCCGTGGCGCCTTCATTGCTGCTGTCTTCGCTATGCAAGGTTTTGGAATTTTGTTCAGTGGGATAATTGCACTTATTGTGTCAGCTGGATTTGATCATGCTTATAATGTCCCAAGTTTCCAAGAAAATGCAGCTCTTTCCACCGTGCCACAAGCCGACTACATTTGGCGTATAATTCTCATGTTCGGAGCTTTACCAGCTTTCCTCACTTACTACTGGCGCATGAAGATGCCCGAAACAGCCCGATACACAGCTCTCGTGGCGAAAGACGCAAAAAGAGCCGCACAGGACATGGGGAGGGTACTACAAGTTGAAATTGATCCCGAGGATGCAAAAATCGAACAAATGTCTAGGGACGAAACCAATAACTTTGGTCTATTTTCTTGGGAATTCGTTCGTCGCCACGGGCTGCACCTATTCGGCACATGTTCCACATGGTTTTTGTTGGACATCGCTTTCTATAGCCAAAATCTTTTCCAGAAAGATGTGTTCAGTGCAATTGGATGGATCCCAGCGGCCAAAACCATGAATGCCGTTCAAGAAGTTTACAAGATTGCAAGAGCACAAACCTTGATTGCACTACTTAGTACAGTGCCAGGGTACTGGTTCACTGTGGCGTTCATCGATATCGTTGGAAGGTTCGCGATCCAACTGATGGGGTTCTTCTTCATGACTGTATTCATGTTCGCCATTGCCATTCCCTACGATCATTGGACAAAGAAGGACAACCATATTGGGTTCGTTGCAATGTACGCCCTCACATTCTTCTTCGCGAACTTTGGGCCAAACGCAACCACATTCGTGGTCCCGGCTGAGATTTTCCCGGCCAGACTTCGATCAACATGTCATGGTATTTCTGCAGCTGCAGGTAAAGCTGGAGCTATTGTAGGAGCGTACGGGTTCCTATACGCTGCACAAAGCAAAGATCCAACGAAAACCGATGCAGGATACCAACGGGTA